GTCAAGAGTATTATCTCCTTTTAAAAAGGAATCAATTTAGGACGTTGTTCCATAGTGTAACAGCACGTCTGCTTTACACGCAGAAGGTCCTGGGTTTGTACCCCAGTACAGCCACAGTCCACGGCCTTGCCACCCTGAACAAGCCCAATGTCTGATCTTGGAAGCTAAGAAGAGTCGGGCCTGGTTAGTCCTTAGATGGGAGACCACCTAGGAAGACCAGGTGCTGTAGGCATAAATAATAGTAAATTTTTTAATAAAAGAATCGATTTAGGTAAGACAAGGCTAATTTACTATATTTATCTCAAATCACTCAGGCACTCCATGTTTAAATTTCTTCATTTGTAAGAAGAGGATAAAATTTATCTGGATAATAATACGTATCACTGGATTGTCAGGATCAAAGAAAAGAACACGTGGACATGCACTTTAAAATCACAAGTTCTGAGTACACCATCGTCATCCTCTTTGTTCATGGTAACAAAATAGGTACCAGTGGGTTTGCTTAAATTTCATTTATTTTGAGTACTTTCCTTAGGGCGCTATTACCTAAGTAATGCTCAAATACCCTCTGTAAGATTTGGCTAAATGCTGCCCAGGAATCAATTTGGAAATGTGAGTAACAGCTGTCTCTCTACAAACAGATTATAGAAATTCAATACCAAATAGTACTATGTATGGAGCACTCAGAAAACTGCATTTACTTGCAATACTTATTTAACCTGAACTCTCCTCCTACTCAGAGATCATCAGTTTTTCAGTTCATTGAGGGGTTATTTACTCATGTGATCCACTGCAATGAAGAGAGAGCAAAAGGCAATCGAAAAGTCGGACTTAAAGATAGAAGACAACACGTCAGCCACTATCTCTACCCATGAGTATAATACTATCTGAGTTGCACCTGATAAAAGAAACAGCATTTCTTTTTTTCTTTTTTTTCTTTTTTTTTTGGTGTGTTTGAAAAAGGGTGAGGAAGCCCTTCCAGAAAAATTTGCCTGGCAGCTCAAATTTAAGAGTTACTGCACATTTGAAAAAGCTTGACTAGATAAAGTTCTCTGCCTTGGTGGAGAGAAGTCCATTAATCTGGACATTTTTAAATTAAACTTTTTGAGACCATTGTAGAGTCACATGTAGTTTGGAAGAAATAATACAGAGAGAACCAGTGCACAAATTTACTCAGTTTTCCCCAATGATAACATCTTACAAAACCAAGATACTGATATTGATACAGTCAAGTCACGGAACCACCTTTGGAAATTTTTGAATAATTCATTCACTACAATAATCATTCTCACACTCTCACCAGTCAGAAACATTATTTTAAATTCTAAAGCTGGTAAGTAAGGTCTTAAGAAATATATCACTGGGGTTGGGGGTGGGGAGATTGCACAGTGATCTAAGAGGCAGCTGGTTGAACTGCCTGAAATATTACTTACTTTTCTTTCCAGGAGTTTTAGGCGATTGACAACCAGTTGAGAGTTGACCCAAAGGCGATCAGCTTTGAAGACAGAGCCAAATAAGGAACAGCAACTCACAAATCACCTTGCTGACCAAATTTCCCAGAGAAAGAGTTACCAGTGTCACAGGGACTTCGGTTTTTCAAAATCCACTTTATTCATTTAACAAGCCTCATGTAAGCAATTCCTGACTGTTCAGTAATGGCCTGGAAGCATTTGCTTCTCTGCGGACCAATTCCCTAAATATGACTCTTGCAATTTAAATAAGGGTTAGGTTTCCTCTGGTTTATTCCAATCACTGCTGTTTTTACTGAAATTTTTGAGAGTTCTGCAGGAAGTTTCTGACAAACCTGAAAGTCTTTGGCAAGTGTCTGAGGAAGCAGACAACAGAGGGAGATTCCCCTCCTGAAAGGACATATTAGTCACTTATGGAGAAATTATAAGACTTCCTTCTAAATAAAACATTAATGAATTTGAAAGGAAAATCCCCACTGGAAGAGATCACATAACATTAAGGCATGTGGAAATGAGGACATAGAATTGTTCAGAGAAGTAGATAAAATACAAGCTTAAAAATTGCACATTTCTGCATTTGAACATATAGAAAAGCGTTTGAAAAATAATCTAATACCAGGCACCAACATGTTTCTAGGGAAAGCTAAATCCACTAAGTATTTAAATAATTTCAATGTTTTCTGTCACTGGCATTCAAAGATGAAATTCCTTTCCTAAAATGACACCTTTACATGCTGAAGCATACAAGCAGGAAGATGTAACAGTGTGCAAAATGCCACCTTCTCCTCTTGTTATGACACACATGGTTTCTTAAGTTACAAGTAATTCTCTCTGGTTTGATCCCTTAACGTCAAAAAGAGTTGGGATAGCTGTCTGAGCTTCCCTTGCTTGTACTACAGGTCTCGAAAAAACACCAAGGAGGAACTAGGTGACACGGAGAGCTGGTTTGAAACTCCAGCCTGCTTAGGGAGAATAATAACCAGCACGGCAGGGTTTTG